CATGTGTATGTGTGTCTGCGTATGTATGTGCTAAAATCGTCTACTGTGCCATCCCCGCGGCTCAGATGCTGTACCCGACGCCAGCGAAGACCCTGGCGAGGAGCTGCTGACTTGGGAGCCCCAGGATGACCTTGAGTTTGACGACGACTTCCAGCTGACCAAGAGGACTAAGTCCATCATCACCGACCTGGTCGCCAGCAAGCCCACCAAGGGGAAACTCAAATTTGTACGTACTTGTAATTTTGTTTTGCTATGTTAAGTGGATGCTTTTTAAGGGGAGGAGCGACCGTTGATTTTGCAGAATTTTGGATCAGGCCATGCAAATTGAGATGTTAGCTGATTTTTTTTCAGGTCAACCAGGTTTTAGGTCTAAAAATAGCCTGGATTCTCCTAATAAATTGCCTTTGAAAACATGAGGGCGGGTTAATATAGTGAATTTTCACAATAATTGTCATTTTTTGCAAATTATGATTTTTTGGGGGGAAGTTTTATCCCTACTCCTTCCTTAGTTTTCTTACTTTTGACATGAAACTTTCCAGGAAACAAAGATGGCAAGGCTGCCATCAATGTAATAGAGAGATATTTGCAAAAAAAATATTACTTTTCCATTGGCAAGCGGTTACGCAACCAAAATTTAGAAGAGATTTTTTTACACTTTGGGAAAATTCTCTTTTTTTTTTCTTTTGCAATTATTGAAAAAAACTCGCTGTTACGCTAATGGGGTCTGGTTCAGGTATACTCTCACCAAATTAGGTCAAATTTGGTCCATAAATAAGAAAGCCTTAGGGGTTTGATATTCATTGTTTATTTTCACGATTCCGGCCGTTTCCATAGCAACCGCTGTAGCTATGTCAATATAAAGTTGTGTATCAAGAGATTTTCCTTTGTCTAACTTATATGTGTACTTAGATTTGATCTTGGGCAGCAAACATAGAAATGGTCCTCAAGGGTAGCTCCTCCCGTTAATATACATTACGAATGCCCTTGCCTGTGTGTCTCTGTTTGAATTTTGTGCAGTAGTGTCGGGGGGGGGGGGTTAGAAATATTTTTAGGAGGGAGAAATGCAATAAAGCTGTCTCCTCTACATTATCTGTATCACAGTTTAGAGAGGATAGGGAGAGATAAATGAAATATCTGGCCCCCTTAATTAACATAAAAGTCTAGAACTTTTTGTTCTCGCTGGAGAAATTGAAGGAAAAAAAGAGGGCCAAAAGCAACTTACCTAGAAAACTTGAACAGTTGGATGAAGAGAAAGGACCTTGACAATATAGGGTTTTTGAGAGCATCTTATCTTAGAAGTGAGTGGCAATTGCCAATGCTTGTTTCAGACCTTGTTTTCTTGAAGAAGAAAGAGTGCTTCCTATTGTACAACTGCTGAATGTTTTGCTCAGAGTTGAATGAGATTCCATTTTTTTAATTTTGAAAATATTTTTGTGAAAGAGGAGGGTATCTTCTTTGCAAGGGAGAAATGATGTCCGGAGCCATTATCTTGAGATTAGTTACTTGTGTTGTGTCCAACCTTTGAGTGAACTTCGAGTTATATCTTGTGTTTGATAAATCACACACAAGGAAAATAGTGACTATGATAGACTTCATAACAAAATTTTCGGAGTTAATTGAATTTCTGTGTTAAAGAATCAGATGTGTGTGTGTGTGTGTGTATGTTTGTCTTTTCTTTTCTTATGCAGCCTTCTTCTTTTCTGCTCCTGTTGTCCTGATTTATTTCTGGTGGAGCATAGTTGGGGGGGTTTGTGTTGCTGGCTCATGATTGACTAAAGTGCATTGACTCGGAACAAATTACTCTTTAGTATACTCTATTCCTCTAAAAACCAGTGTATATGGTAAGTAGTTTTTCGTTTCAAAGTCACACAGAGAGGACCTGAGTTTGATTCCAGTGTGAGGAAGATTTTTACTGAGTATCTCAAGTCTTTCTACTGAGACACTGTGTCCCTTTCAACCCAGTCAGACAGGTTTCTAAATTATGTCATGGGGGCATTAAAATAAATATCCACATACGTTAATTGCTCCTTGTTTAAATTCTTTATCAGCTTACCTGGGTCTCCTTACAGGGTGTCGAGATGTTTGTTAATGCGTTGACATGTATCTATCAGTAGCACTGGAAAGCCAGAACTCAACTCAAATGGCTTTGTTTTGTTTTTGTGTACCTTGTTTTGATGCGTGCGTGTGTGGAGGGTGGGTTAAAAATTGCTTTTTAAGTATGTAAATAGTCTACAGTTAAGAGGAGACCTAGATCTAGTCTGACAGGTCCATGCATTGAGATATTTCTTTCGTTTGGTTGTGATGTCATCAGATGGTCACATCTGTTATCAGCAGTCGTTTAACCACTCAAACTATTTTGACTTGTAGATAGCCATTTGTTTGTGTTAGTTTTATCAGTCTTCGAACATAGTTTGCACGAAGTGGTTCTGAGACTTTGCTGCGTCTTGCGTTAGGAATGTGGATTGTCTCAATGTACTAAGTAAGAAAACAGAGTAGGAGTAGGATGGATTGTTCACTTGACAAGAGTGGACTGGATAAGCTGCACACACTCAGTAAGTACTAAGGAGTTAATTCTGAGTCGAAAATAAACAAAGCATCGTAATGGTGTGGAGTGAAAAGGCTTTTTTTTCTTCTTTTCTCTAAAACGTGAGCCTGTCACCTTGAAATAAATGACCACTGTTTTTCTTGTGGTCTGCTCTCTGACCTGTCTCAGCATTATTCATTGTTCTCCTAAACAGTTCCTCACAAAATCCCCTGTTGCTGTGCTGACTTGCTGAATGTACTGCTGCTTTTTTCCTCTACTTCTTTTGTATGTTTGTCACTCCCTTGTGCACTGCTATTTCCGGGGTGCCTTGATAGTCGAAGCAGACTTTGTGCTGTTGAGTCTAGACAGCTGAGCAGAGTACGCCTGATTCCCCATTTGGACTTTTCTGTTGACATCCACCATTTGGACTTTTCTGTTGACATCCACCCCTTGGTGCTCATATGGCCTTAAGCAGTTGCAAGCGCCGTAACACCTTACTAAAACGAATAAAACAAGCTGACTGTTTACAACAGTTTTGCATTTTCCCTGGATGAACTAATAGCAAGAAACTTTTCCTTTTGTCCACAGACTAAGCATGGAGTACCGTGCGATGACAGCGACTCAGATCTGGAGGACTTCCACCACATTCTGGACCAATCAGATTTGCAGCTGAAACTGGCTGACCAATCACTGAAGAAGAAACGAAAAGACCCAATGGGCACAGGACTACATCCTGACCCAGCTAAATATGTGAGTGGTTTGCTTGTTTCTTCTGAGTGCTCTTGTGTAGTTAACTAGCCTACTTTCCCTGTATGCTGCTGTTGCTCCTCTCCTAAAAAGGCAGACTTTTTCCTGCTCTTTCACTCTTTCCATATGGTCGCTGTTAAGCACAAGGGGGCTATCCCAAAAAATGCTGTTTTGAGAAAATAGAAGGTAAACTTTTTGCCCCTTGTTCAGTTTCTTTAAAAGACAAGGAGAGTTTTCTCTATTTACAAACAAATATACACACCAATGAAACCAAACTTCTCCTATAGGTAGGGCAATGCCCACTTTTGGGGAAGGCCAAGATTTCTGGAAACCCCCGGAATCTGGGTTATGTTAGCCCACTTGTCCTTAAAAGTGACGATATATCCATTCTCAATCTACAGTTGACATGGCATTATGTCCTCAACAACACAGACACTCTTTTTGTTTGCATTGTGTCTGGTATCAGGCATTGTATGTTTTGTTTTAATTCAAATTCTCTCCCCCCTGTCATAACGGGTAGTTTGGGGGGGGGGGGGGGGGAGTGCTTCTGTGTGATTTGCTTCTTCTTTCCATTGAATATCCATCGTCTTTATCTCCCCTCTTTCTTTTTTATGTTTCTTACTTCTTTGTAAGACCTCTAATCTTCTGGCGCTCATATGACCTTATGCAGTTGCAAGCACTGTAAAACCTCTACTAAAACAAACATATCTCTCCTCTTTCTCTTCTTTGTATGCTACTTTATAATTAGACCTCTGATTTTCTGCATTTATATGACCTATCTGTGTCGCAGTTTACTGAAATTTTAATGCAGCAAAATTTCTGTCATATTTCTTATGTATCAGGCCTTTCCTTTCCTTGCTCTAAGTAACCGTTAATGTAGTGATGTACTTCTCTTTAATTTACTAAAACGGAAGTGACTCATGTTCTTTCTGTGTGTGGTTAAAGGCACCACTTGTAGGTCCTTTTCTTTTTTTTCCATCTGTTGTTTCTGTTTGTTTGTCCCGACACTAAAGGACTGCTAATATGCCAATGTTCTTCACTTTGCTCAAGCAAACAAATCCAAGTGGGTGGTTGACGGGTGCTTTGGTGTGGTGTGCTCCTTTTTTCCTATATCAAACATCTATCGTCCTTATCTCCCCTCCTTCTATTTTGTGTTTTTTGTTACTCTCTTGTATCACCTCTAATCTTCGGCACTTTATTACCTTATTGAGTTGCAAGTGCCGTAAAACTCTTACTGTGGGTGGTTGGCGGGTGCTCTGGTCTGGTTTGCTCCTTCTTTCCTATCAAACATCTATCGTCCTTATCTCCCCTTCTTCTTTTTTATGTTTGTTACTCTCTTGTAACACCTCTAATCTTCGGCACTTATATGACCTTTTTGTGTTTCAAGTACCGTAAACACTTACTAAGCTAAAGTTCTTTCTGTGTGTGGTTAAAGGCACCACTGGTAGGTCCTTTTCTTTCTTTTTTTTTCATCTGTTGTTTCTGTTTGTCTGTCCCTACACTAAAGGACTGCTAATGTGCCAATGTTCTTCGCTTTGCTCAATCAAACAAATCCTTTGTCTGTGAACAGAAAGAGATCATCGACACGTGTGTGACCAACATTCAGTGTCTGCAGTCCATCTGCCAGCACCTCAGCACAGAGGACGTGATGCAGGAGGATGTGACTCGAGTGCAAGGTAAGCCTTGTTAGAAGGAGATCAACTCTTTAACCATGCAATTTAAAATCACATTTCCGCGTAATTCTCTCCTTTTTACGGAAATACGACCCGACATATTACGTTTTTAGAACCACTTGTTTCGTGTCAAACTGATCGATAAAGCATTACCCAGACATAGAATTCATTTATCTTTGACTTCCCGGTCAAACTAAAGGCTTGTTAGCTTGTACTTTTTTATATTCAGCCGGTACCATAATACAATCATAACTTCGCTTCGGACGGTGGTACTGTCCAGCCATGGTTACGGACCTCGACCACCGGGCACTGCCACCGTCCAGACATGGTTAAAGAGTTAATGTATGTTTTGCTGCAAGTTTTCCAATATTTGTCAATCTCAGGTGCTCCAACGTCATGCTTCTTGTGACTGCCGTGGAAACTGCTATTGTGTGCATGTGTATATTTTGTTATTGTGTGTGTGTTTGTGCTTCTCTTCTTCAAAAGGGGTTATTGTGTTTCTTTCCCTTTGGGTCACTTTATTTGTCTTGCTTTTTTTCTTTATGACAAATTACTGCTGTTGCGTCAGTCTTATCTTTTTCTCACACTTACGCTGAAACTGCTGTGAAATATGATGACTGCTATTGTTCCAATTTGCCATATATTGCAATTTGGATTACACATTGTGTGTCGTGTTTCCAGGGGCTTAAATAATAATAATAATAATAGATAGTATTTGTATAGCGCAAATCCCCGCTCAACAACAAGCTCTATGCGCTTCACAATCTATACTATTACCCAAGCAGACCCGAGAGCATTCTGAAATAACCTCAACTTCCTGGGAAGCATACAGTGAAAGCTTACCCAATGAATGACAATTATTTGAACAAATATTTGGAGGGCGCCACTTGTAGGTCCTGTTTTATTTTTTTCCTTTCCCCTTTTTGTTTTTGTTTATCTGTCCATGGTTCTCCTTAAACAAATAAACAATTTTTTGGTGTATTTCCGTGGGTGGGTTAGTAGACGCTCTGTTGTGGTTTGCTCCTTCTTTCCTATCAAACATCTGTTGTCCTTCTCTCTCCTCCTTTGTTTCACTGTATGTTACTCTTTTGTTACACCTCTAAATTTCGGCACTTCTATGACCTATTTGTTGCTTGTGGTTGTGGGGGTACCTCTGGTTGGTCCTACTTTTTTACATTCCCTCTATTGCTACTCTTCTGTCTTACTTTTTCCCACCTCTAAATGACCATTGTTGTGTCGATGTGCTTCTCTTTACTCAAACAAACAAGACCTATTTGTTTTGTAAGTGCTGTAAAACTTTTACTAAAACTAAAAGTGGGTGCACTGGTGTGGTTTGCTCCCTCTTTCCTATAAAAAGCTATCGTCCTTATCTCTCCTCCTTCTTTTTTGTGTATGTTGCTCTCTTGTAACACATCTATTCTTCGGCACTTATATGAACTTATTGTGTTGCGAGCGCCGTAAAACCTCTACTAAAACTTACTAAATGACCATTATTGTGTGGATGTGCTTTTCTTTACTCAAACAAACAAACAAGACCTATTTGTTTTGTAAGTGCCATAAAACTCTTACTAAATCAAACTTTAAAAATGTTGTATTTCCTCAGACCTCATGACCCAGTGGCAGAAGCTGGAGGCCTTGGCGTCCGATCGCTTTGACCAGAGCTCCCAGCTGAGCAAGGTCCGCGACCAGCTGTCAATCATGAGCCGCTGTGTCAAGGGGGCCGAGGACTGTCTGGCCCTGGATCGCTTTGGCTCCGTGGACGAGCTCAAGGAAACCATCAGACAACTCAAGGTGCGGATGTCCTTCTTTGATTGGGTCACTCCTTGCAGAAGCACGTACATGCAGGCATGCACACACACAAACACACATATACAAACACTCACACTCATACACACACACACACACACACACACACACACACTCACACTCACACACACCCAGACACACACACACACTCACACACACACATATATGTTGACACACACACACTCTTATTTACACACACACACACTCATATGTTGACACACACACACACACTTATTTCCACACACACACACACACACACACACACGAGCACACATGCAGTGCTTTTAGTTTTAGAGGTTTTTTATTTGGTTCCCTGGATTCCCTGTCGCATTGTAAGTGCTTGCAGGGTGCCACTGGTTGCTGCTGTTTCTTTTCTTTCGCTCTTTGTCTTTCTGTCTGTCATTCATCTTTCTTCATGCACTAAATGATGTGTTATTGTGTTCATGTGCTTCTCTTCGCTCAAACAAACGCAGTGCATGCTTGGCGGGTGCTCTGGTGTGGTTTGCTCCTTCTTTCCTATCAAACATCTATCGTCCTTATCTCCCCTTCTTTTTTTTATGTTTGTTACTCTCTTGTAACACCTCTAATCTTCTGGCGCTCATATGACCTTATGCTGTTGCGAGCGCTGTGAAACCTCTACTAAAACTAACTAACTAAACAAACGCACTCTTTACAGCAAAAACGCCAGACCCTGGATCTGCAACAGGAGCAAATCTCGGAGCTAGAGAAGCACCTGAAAGGACTGTCCCTGACTTACCCTTCCCTATATGTGGACAAGTATGCCCAAGAACTCGCCGCCCTCGGCAAGTTGACGGCGGTTACATCTCATAAGTAAGCCAAAATTTTCATGTCTCTTTAACCCTATCCGTACGTCGTGTTTTACTATCGTACCCATACGATGTGCGGAACTCTGTGCCACCACTTTCCAAAGAGGAAATTTACTCGTTAATCTGATCCTTATGCTTTGCATAGCAGTCTGTCAAAATGATTTTTTGAGAAATACTGAAAGTTTCAAAGAGATTTTCGAACTAGAAGTATTCTAAAAATGAGAAAAATACAACCCCGTGTACAAAATGACCCCAGGGTGTACGGATAGGGTTAAGTTCTAACTAAAGTGAGTACTGGCAGCTTCTTGTCGGATGCCCTCACCTTTATATCATCAGAGTCGTGACACAAATGCCTTAGTCGTGTTTTGAAACTTTGAGAAAAATAAAAAAGTAAAGAAAAAAAGGAGATTGCCTGTGACTGCGGAGTGTTTTATTTGTCTTTAAGAGTTGATAGTAGCTACATTCAACCGAGCAACGTCATTTTCGTCAGCACCCTGTGGCAACTGTTACCATAATAAGCTTTGTCATCACTGTCAAATTTTGGTCTGCATTTTCTTTTCAGCTCCCTGTGTTGTCTGTGGATGTTGGCAGTGCTCTGGTGTGGTTTGCTCCTTCTTTCCTGTCCAACATCTATCATCTTTGTCTCCTCCTTTTTGTTGTACGCTGCTCTGGTAAAACCTCTAATCTTTGATACTTGTATGATCTATTTGTGTTGCAAGCGCAGTAAAACTGTTTGTGGTTGGCGGGTGCTCTGGTGTGGTTTGTTCCTTCTTTCCTATCAAACATCTGTCGTCTTTATCTTCCCTCCTTCTTTTTTCTGTTTGTTACTCTCTTGTAACACCTCCAATCTTCGGCACTTATATGACCTTATTGTGTTGCAAGTGCTGTAAAACTCTTTCTAAAACTAAAAACTCTAATCTTCAACACTTATATGACCTATTTGTTTCGCTAGTGCAGTAAAACTCTAACAAAACTAAAACTAAACCTGTTTTTTATTTGTGTGCAGACTGAAAGAAAGTGTTGGTCAGCTGGAGAACAACTGGTCCGTCTGGCTGGAGTACATTGAGGGTCAGCGGGAACTGGACGCCTTCCTGGCCAGTGACCGGGAGCGTGTGTACAGCCTGCTGTGTCAGAGGGAGCGGGGGCTCAGACTCACCAAGAAGGACGTGCTCAAAGAGCTGGAGGTGAGAGAGACAGATATATCACACAGTTACGGAACATGGTGGCGAAACCCGGGGAATTTCGTCAAACTCAAGAACATTCGATTGAATCTTGATTTAGATTTTAGGGACAGAGCCATGCTAGATCTAGATCAAGATTCAATCGCATGTTTTTTAGTTCTAAATCTAGATTCAATCGCATGTTTTTTAGTTCTAAATCTAGATTCAATCGCATGTTTTTTAGTTCTAAATCTAGATTCAATCGCATGTTTTTGAGTTTGACGAAACTCCCGGGTTTCGGCACCATGTTCCGTAACACACACAGTGGGATACCACACAGCAGGATACCACACGGCACGAATTAAAAAATTGAACTTGAATTAAATGTTCTGATTGTGCGGAGCCTGTTGGCTACTAAGACTCCCGTTTTGTTGACAAGGAAAAAGTTAGAGTGATTAATTTTTAGTTCTACAATCCCGTTTCTTTTCAGTGTTACTGTTGTCCTAATCTAGTCCTTATTGAATTTTACTGTCTTAGCTTATGGCGAGAGATTTTTTGCAGCCCTGGTGTATTTCCCATGAAGTTTCACTGGTATTGTGCCAACCGTTCGCTAACTGCTCACGACCTGAATGCTTTCTTCTCCTATCTCCATTTTTTTTATCATTGAAAATGTGACTTCTTTTTAAGCTCACTCTTTGTTATGAACTGTTTTCACTGTTATTAGAAATGGAGATAGGACAAGAAAGCACTGAAGTCACTTACTGCTCAAACAGCTGAACATTTGAAGAAAGAATTACTGTTCCTGCCCACGTTCAGTTCCTAATGTTCCTCATACGACTATTCCCCTTCCCTCCCTAAATGCAATACAACTTTTCCCTTCCCCTCCCTAAATGCCATACAACTGTTCCCCATCCCTCCCTAAATGCAATACAACTGTTCCCCTTCCCTCCCTCCCTGCCTAAATGCAATACCACTGCCCCCCTTCCCTCCCTAAACGCAATAATTTTGTCCCCCTTCCCTCCCTAAATGCAATACAACTGTCCCCCTTCACTCCCTAAATGCAATACAACTGTCCCCCTTCCCTCCCTCCCTAAATGCAATACAACTAGCTGTTCCCCCATCCCTCCCTCCCTAAATGCAATACAACTTTTCCCTTCTCCTCCGTAAATGTTATACAACTGTCCCCCTTCCCTCCCTAGACGCTGCAGTCCAACGTGTCGGTGTGCGAGTCCAAGCTGAGCGTCCTGCAGGAAATGAGAGCTCGTCTGCTCCGCACCTCGGACGACTCGGCCCAGCGCGTCTTCATGGCCTCACTGGGTGACTTGCGCAACCAGCTTCACGTTATGTCGGAGCGTTGTCGCGAAGTCTACCGGGACATGGATGACGAGGACGAACTGCCCGCCAGCCACCAGTCTGACCTTGGTGACCTTGCCATCTCTGCAGCCACGCTGCACGAAGCCTTCAGAAACCCCCATGACGTAGGGTTAGTATTTATGTACTATGTCTTTATGATTTTTTACACTTGAGTTACAATGATGCACACATGTGATATATATACAATGTGTTACCATGCTACATTTGGGCGCTCGTTCAGTAATTGAAAGGCTGCTCTAAGTGTAAATCGATTGACTCCACAGGACACTGCTCTATGTGCCAAATGGTTCATATGCCACTTGCACTTTTTAATCCTACTTGAGTCATTCATTATGTTATAGGTGATTATGGTTGGGCGGTTGCTTTTCAATATGACTCCCCACCTTCTTGCATGCTTTCATTGTTACCTCTGTTTGTCTCCTCTGAGTGGGTGGTTGGCGGGTGGTCTGGTGTGGTTTGCTTCTTCTTTCCTATCAAACATCTATCGTTCGTATCTCCCCTTCTTCTTTTTTGTGTTTGTTACTCTCTTGTAACACCTCTAATCTTCTGGCGCTCATTTGACCTTATGCAGTTAGTTGCGAGCGCCGTAAAACCTGTATTAAAACTAAATCTGTCTCCTCTGCCCCACAGGTCGTCTCTGTCCAAGAGGCTGGCAGCTTCGCCGCTGGAGGAAGCCAGCACGGGCATGTCTCGCAGCAGCGCCTCGTGGCTGCGCTCACTTCCTGTCCAGGTGGTGACGCTGGTGCTGGTGGCCGGCCTGGTCTGTGCCCTTGACCCGGACATCCTGGAGCGCCTGGCCAACTTCTCGCTGACCGTCACGCCCGAACTGCACTACGTGGACGGGCCGCCCACCGTCTGAAGCGTGGCTCCACTCGGCCGATGCTGCAACACAGCGAGAGAAGGAAAGACGCAGGTTCTTCTGTGCCGATGTTTCCCTCTCTCCCTCTGCCACTTCTTCTATGGGTGTGCTTATCACGGATGTGGCGGCACTTCTCGAAGTAGAAGTAAAAGAGAGCCTCTTCGGTTATATATCTTCTATAAATTATAGCCTTCTTGAAGACTGTTTGGCTCAGTCTGAGGTGTAATCTTTATGTGATCTATTCAGAATGTGGTCACTTGATGTACTGGACTGAAGGTGGTAAGCCTGTGCCTGTTACTCCCTGTTGTCGTTAGACTAGTGGAAGGAGAGAATGGTAAAGGTGCCACTTTTCTGGGTAATTTCCTGAAGTTTGGAAATCTAATAAGTGTTAGACTATCTGTGTTTTGTTTGTACAACTCGCTGTTGTCTACATTTGAGCATGATATGGACATGTTGTCTTTTTGCATGCCAGCCAGTAAGGTTCAGACGTCTAAACTTGATGTTTGTGGCACCTTTTGAAAAGATGAATGGATGGGTGTTGTCAAAGCCCAGTATGTCGGAAATATGAACTGTTTCTGTCAGACCAAGTTTGTTCAGTAGGACAGAGTGAAACTGATTAAAGAACAGCCTTAGATGGCGGTACTAATAATCACAACTCTGCTCCCAGTTTCATATTCTGTCTGAGGGAAATGCTTCTGGCTGTTAACATGTTCAAAATTAACTGTTTCTATCAGTTGCATCTTGTCCTAACACAATGGATCTTAACCTGGGTTCACTTGAACCCCAGAGGCTCCATGAGTCAGTCTTAGAGGTTCTACTAATGCCAACACACACACGCATACACATTGTTTGTGTGTGTGTGTGTTTCCGTTATGTTCACCCCACCCAGAGGGTCTGATGAATGCATAAGTATGAAACTTGTGCGGTTCTGTATCTCCAACAAGGTTAAGATCCACTATCTTAACGGTACTACCTGTAGTTCCTTGACGTTCTAACAGTTTCCCTTTTCTCTCAAGGGAAAATCTCTGTTTTGAGTTGTGTAACTGTCTGAATGGCTAGGTGATGTGGATTTTGCTCGTTCACAGCGAGAGAGTTGTTTTACAGAAGGTTCTGGAGTCTCATGATTGGGTTGTGCAAGTTTGTGATTATAATGGAATATCGCACGTGTACCTTTGTACCAAGGAATATTGAAGAATGTTCTTTGGATCAGGTCACAAATCCACACAGTCCGGATGGTGACTGGTGTAGATGTTGCTACAGATCCGCGGTGGATCTTTTAAAGGACACAGGGTCCAAATCTTGATCAACGTTTCTCATTTCTATACTTAATGTCAATGTCCATCTGAGGGTACTGACTGAGGGAAAGTTTCATGTTGAGAGCATAAAAGTTGTTGGAGGTTTTATCTTTAGACAAAAGATCTTATAAAGTCTGATTCGTTTGAGCTACACTTTTCTAAAGATGAAATGTCCAACACTTGAGTCTATTGAATAATTTTTTGTTTCATTTTTGTCTGTTTCCTTGTTGTTTCAGCTATGTCCACTGACTTTTAGAGATCAAATCCACATAAACGCAACATCCCACCACTAAGACACGAAGGGAAGCAAACTCTCATCTTTGCTACCTCACTTCAATCTAGTGCCAAATGGCTACTGTAGCCTCGTCTTGATAGCTCACGGCCTTAGTTCTAGTTTGTTTCTATTTCATTTTCTGAAATATTGCAGATTTTATTTTTAGGTGGTTGAGGGGAGATTGCAAACCATGGAACTAACTCATTTGAAAGAAAGAATTCGGCTGTTTCGTTTCCCCAATTGTTTTTTTTACTGATATTCTCCCCTTGTTTGGACTCGGTGGAAAATCTTAAAGCTGTGACGCAGTCACCTGTGTTAGTTTGTTAACATTAGATAGTGACTAATAATTCAATAACAGCTTTTGTCCTTTTTTTTTAACGTAAACCAGTACTGAAAGCCGAAAATAATATTGAACAGCAAAATGTTTTGGTTTTGTGCGAAACCTCAATGTCTGTTACTACCAAACAAGAACTGAGGTTGTGAGACGCCAAGACAAACTCATCTTTTCTCCTTATGCTTCATCAAGTGAGAGAATGTTACTTCTCCTATCCGGAATACAGAAGACCATGAAGTGCAGGACAGATTACTTGGTCATTTTTTGCCATTTCTCATTGGAGTCAAGGAACACTTAGTCCTCTTCCCAAATACCCATTATTCAATAGGATGTACAAGGGAAATAACTGGCAGTAACACTGGCCTGGATTTTTTTCCTTTTGTGCATTATTTATAGATACAGCATCTTCTTTATAATTCAGAAAGACAGAAAGGTTTCAAATGGTAATGTATTGCTATCTTCAGTTAAGAGATGTTTGTTTTCTGCAATTTGACTCATCTAAAGTGCAGAACTGTTATGGATTTTGAATACAATAGATTTTGAATACAATAGATTTGGAATACAATAGATTTGGAATACAATAGATTTGGAATACAATAGATTTGGAATACAATAGATTTGGAATACAATAGATTTGGAATACAATAGATTTTGAATACAATAGATTTTGAATACAATAGATTTGGAATACAATATTCAGCTTAGCTGTCGGAATTACTCTTCCCTTTTTTGCATGACGCTTTGTTCGCAATATCTCCCGTTTTGTTTCACATTAACCCAAATATAGACTTAGAGATAGCAAAATACTGCCTGAGGATTCTGTCTGGTAGTTCATGGTCTATAGGAGAGCTCATGTCAGTCATCCAGTGTAGTTGTGCCTTTTTTTTTTTCCCTCATTGCATTTGGTACGAGCCACACAAGCAGCACTCTGTACCTACGCTTTGTCATCTCCCCGACATTTTCAGCAACAAATCAAATGAGGAGACTACGGGAAAAACGGGAATAGCCGCATACTGAAAATCGTGAAGGCATCAATTTTTAACACTTGTTGACTCGTTAAAAAAACTGTATTTCTGTTCAATTATTGGTTTATTATAGTTGTTAGATTTCCCATTCAACAAACATAATGATAAACCACCAGTTTAACAAGTATGAAGTTTTGAGTCCACAAGCTTTTAAAATTGACACCCTCACAATTTCCAGTGTGTGACTCTGCCTGTTTTTCCCGTGGATTCCTCAAATGTGAGGAACACAGAGAGAGCTGTTACAGAACATGTGAGACATATCCGTGCATTTTACTCGTGTATTGGTTTTATTGTTTTTATGCAAAGGTTACAGTTTTATGATGTCAAATGTCTTGTTCGTTTTTAAAATTATTGTCTAAATCCTTAATTGAAACTGAACGAGATTACGTTCTGGTCTAGTGACAACTACACTTGTTAAACTGTTGCCTCTTTTAGCAAGCAGTCGGCTGTTAGTTAGGATAATGTTTTTATCATAAGGTCAGTGTTTCCCTACATTTGCTAGGTTATTCTAGCTCTAAATAAGGAATGAACAAATTGTTGGAATGGAGTCTAGTATTTTCAAAGATACTTGTCAGCATTGCCAGTGTTGAAATAATTTCTGTTCAAAATATTTTTTGCATAGTTCAGATTTTACACTTCATGAAAAAAATATTCTCTAATTTTGTAAGTTCTTCATCTTTTACAATTTTTCCAACTGAAAATGGTATATTGTCAAGTTTTGTGTTTATTTAATATATATCTTCTACTACAGCATTCAGATGTAAATGGCATTATCAACAATACCTAAGCATAAAACGAATCTACTCTGGCCAGATACGAATTATCTGCAGTTCTGCAGCCTTGCTCTCACGGTAGCGATTTGGTGTTCTCCCAGGGATATCTTTTAACAGAATATGGATGTCACTCCGATTTTAGAGGTATCCAGTTTGATGAAAATTACACCTCGTTCTTTGTCAAATCTGTTTCTGTGACCTCTGACATATTATTATGCTGTTATTTATTTTGGATTTGTCATCGTTTTCATGTTTTAATATCCTTAATATTACTACTATTGTTATGATGATGACGATGATGATGATGATGTAGTACTTGCTTTTATCACCCTATTATCATGCCGTGAATTACCCTTGTCTTCACAAGTGCATTGTCTTTTGTCCACGGTTGTGATGTGACTGCAAGAGGCCATGAGCTGCTGCCTTGTGAAGAGAGAAGCCCATCCGGAAACTGACAAGAGACCTCGACCAGTTCACAAATTTGTCAGCAGTGAGCAGGTTCAGAGTGGATCGATTCCCTTTGCAACTGTAGACATTACTACACTAGTGTTGTGTGCAAGCCATGAAGCTTGGGAAATATAAAAGTTCTCTCTTTTTAGAACTCCCCTCAAGTTTTCCAGCAGGACTAATATCCTTGCGTGAGACGGAAGCATTTTGTCCTGGAAAAAGCCGTTGTTGTTTGTTTTTTTTGCCTTTAGGACGTATTAATGACAGAAGGAAAAGAAGAAAAAAAAAGAAAGGTTTTTATTTTTCTAGAGGTTTAGACTTTTTACTGTGATGCAAATGCAACTATGATGCAAATGCAACTATGATGCAAATGCAACTATGATGCAAATGCGTCTTTCTACTTCTTTGCAAGTGACTATTAATCCCCCCAAAAATGTGCGTAAATATTGGCAATTAAACGTTTAATTTGTGTTTCATGTAGACTTGGATCTTTGCTGGACACTGCGCAGATTTCTTGGGACTTGGACCCACCAGTACTGTTGTTTTGTCGCTTTCTAAGGTGTCTTGTCGACTCTGAACCTGACAGTGTCTGAAATGAGGTCTCTGCTGTCTTTTGATTCTCTGTAGTTTTAGGCAAAGGTCAACAAAGTACAAGCATGGATACATGGTAGTCTCTCACGATGACTAAGTTCATATTTGTCCCAAGTGAGGACATTCCATTCCTCTGTCTCCTTAGTTTGTTTTGCCAGTAAACTGGTTTTATTTGTCTCTTTGTCAATTTGTCACTAGAATTGTTTTGTGGATTGTGACGGTTTTTTGTTGTTTTTTTCGGGGGGTGTGAAAAATTATTTTAAATGTAGTACTTTTAATTTCTGCTATAGTAGTTTACAAAATTGATAATTAGAGATAATAACATTTTTTTTAAAAATACTTTTTGGGGAAAATCTAGCCGAGCAACATTCTGAAGACATCCCTGATAATATCACCCTCAACTTATTGTCATAGTAACACCCCCCCCCCCTCTTGATCCCTCACACACACACACACACACGCACACAGAAAAATGTTTTCTTTCTCACCATTAGACACTCTTTGTCCGGTAATCTCATGACAAAACTACTGGATCACAACAGCTGTAGCTGTCTTTCCGAGCCTTTACGATCGAGGCAGCAAGGCATGACTCTTTGTAGTGCATTGTGTCTTCAGGCAGCATGGTGTATGGTAGACTTGTTGTTTTTGTACTAGAGACATTATTTTGTAGTTTGATTATTACTATAATAAAAATACTAATGCAGTTGCTTTTACACCTTATTGATAAAACGCGAAATACCAATAACAAAAAAAAAACGTGTCGGTGTTTTGAAAGTTTCACTGTAAAGGGAAAACAGCATGCATGTATCGTTCATCCTGTCTGAGTAAACTTATAACTAAACACAGAGTTTGAAGAAAAGATTAATCACACAAATATAACTATGATATCATTAAACACTTTTTTTCATTCTGCTCTTTTTTAAATAATAATTCATTTTTTTTAAAAATCAGATCTTAGAGATACCGTAGTAGATAGTTGTGACTCTAGAAAATATAACTGAGCATAGGGCTCACGCTTCACTTGAGGTGTGGATTTATGTGGCATTGTCTTATGCACAGTTATATTTTCTTATCTTATAGAAATACACAGATGAAAAAAAAATACAGATATATTTCTTGGCGCTCATATGACCTTATGCAGTTGCGAGCGCCGTAAAATCCTCTACTATAAAAAAAGTAAAAGATATATTTCTGTGAGGGAAAAATGATACAGCATCAGTTCTCTGTGTAGGAAGATGCTCCTCAATAAAAGAATGTGCATACGTTGGTGTTTTTTCAGAGTCAAAAGTCAGGTCATAACATCGTTGGACATGTAAGTCTTTGCTTCTTCTCGCTGGGATTTTCATTTCGAATGATGTCTTTGCACCCAAACTGAACCTTTTGACTTGGATATAGTCTCATCGTGTGAACACCCACCCTGCTGTATGGTAGAGTAGAGAAGTATTTTGTCATTGTTTTGATCTGTAACAATATATTTCTGTTGACATGCGCTGCACCTTGCTGGTCTATGCATGATCATTGGTGCCTTTGGTGGACACTGCAACTGAGACAGAGACAGGAAACGAATTCGAAGCTAAGGAAAAAAAATAGATTCATGCATTGAGCCTCATCATGGAATCAATTTCTTATCGAAATTTCAAATGACAGTTTGCATGATTTAAATCAACCTCAATTTACGTCATAGTAGATACTGAATCTTGACATGGCACATATTGTTGATGTAAGTTGTTAAACAAGTGTCAGCGGTCTTTATTCCAGTGTAATGACTTATCTTTTGCTGCCTCAAGGGAACTCAGTGCCAGTAGCACCCACCACCGGATTATTGTGAGAACATTTAGTTTTATCACAGATACTGTGTGTAATCGGTGACTCTGGTCCAATGGTTACTTTGCCAGGGCACACAGAAGAGTTCCAATTCCCATGTGGGGAGGTTTTGAATCAAGTAACGCCGTCTGTCTGCTGCGACGTTATCTCCCTCGGAGCCTTGGTTGACCTCAGTAGCAGGGGTTAAAGCAGCCAGCCTCCTAAATGTGCAAAAATTGTATTGATTGGGGCATAACACATTTGTAATTACTTGTACACTTACTTAACATATGCTCTTTTGATTGTATGTAGATTGAGTAGAGTATGGGTTATACAAATTTGCAGTCTCTTATAACCATCATATAAGTTGTTGCTTTCAAGGTGACACTCAGTATCTATTTGTACTCTACTGCTAAAACACTGGGATAATCCACGAAGCAAAAGAGGCAGATGTAGACTTAGTATAACTTACTTTTTAATTAAGGAAGCTTGAACAGACGGATGATGGAGGAAAAAAAACCCAGGCTTTTTGAGAGCGTCTGAGAAGAGAAACGAGTGGCGAATCATGATTGCCGACGTCAACTTCTGACATCGCATTTTAAGAAGACAAAGAAAACCCTGCGAGGTGAACAAATTGTTCCTTATACTCTGGAAATAACCAGTTGTGGTTTACGACTTACATCAGCAATGCTGTGTTGCCTTACTAGAAGCAAAAAGACAGCGGTCTTCTCTATTATTGTCCGTATGAACGGCCAAGTCTCAAGAGCAGTGTCGGCATTTCATATATCAAGATCTTTTCTCTGTTCAGTAATATTGCATCTATCTTTTGCTGTATTATGCATGTATTGATATTGTGAGGGTTAACAATTTTTTCTATTTTTACATTTAAGACAGCGAAGGCAACTGACCAGCTGAACAAAGTGTCACATTTACAGTAAACATTTTCTTCCGTGGAATGGTTTACTACTTGGAGAAGAACAGCTGGGCAGAATATTTTTCAATAAAGAACAATCATAACGTTTGATACTGCTTGTTTATTTTATTAATTCTCAAGTGGATAAAAGAAAACTTCCAAGAATTTCTGGAAAAGAAAAAATGTAAAGAATTAATTAAATGAATGCCATTTAATTGTACTGTTGTCGTTTTTTCAGAGTTGGTTCCTTGTTCAGAAAACGTGGCTCAGATATTGTAGGTGGAGGGATCCAAGAACCTTCAGATAGGTGTACATACATCCCTCTTCTAGATGTTGTTGTGGAATTACTTGTTCACTTTCTTGAAATGAGCCTCAACTTGACAGAGTCTGCACTTTCTTTGAAATGACTCGCAATATGTGACACAGAAAGTTTATTTTTGAAATTTGGATTGCACATTCTCCTAAGAGTAAATTTTTAGCGCTGCGTATATATTTAAAGAAGAGAAATTCTCTGCTGTCCGAGCATTTGACGAGTAGAGAGAAACGATCTCCTACTTGTGTCATTTCACTTGCTTTTACAAGAAGATGGAGCAAAACTGCTGAAAATATTACAAACCTTTTGTTTTCTGCTGTTGCTGTTCCACGACTCATGATCCTTCAGCTGTTGTATTTTAAAGTTTTACTCACTGACGTTGGTTTTTTTCCAAACCACAAACAGATTCTGGTTTACAGTTCTGAGAGCTGTCTATGAGGAGTGCCCAGGAGGCCGCTCTGGGGAAGTCGAGAAAGTCAACAGGTGTGCATGCACCGAGGATACTGGAACTATATAGATTTAATTTGGTGGTCTCGGCATGCACCTTGTGATGCCGTACGACCCTGAGGTCTCTGTCAGAACTTGTAGAGATCTTCTGTGAAGTTCGTTGTCTAATGACATCGCAACTCGACTTTCTCTGGTGGGGGGAAAAATGGCCTCGTGTGCAGGTCGTATGACTGTGATCGTTCCCTTACAGCTGAGCTGAATCTCTCACAGCGACGATGGTCATCTTGTATTTTGTAGAGGCTTTTGGCTCATTCCTCGGACTGCTCTTCATGCTCGCCTTTTTGGAAGAAAAATCCACTCCATGCTTTTCTCCTCACTGTGTCTGTTCGGTGCTACTCTGTCTCGAGGAATTTCTCAACGCAGCAGCATTTTATTGAACGTCTTACCAAGGCAACTTGCAATTCTGTCAACTGTTTTGGGGTTGTTCTATGTTGTATTTTTTTTGTTTTTTGGAGTTCGTCATTTTCTTCTCAGCTCTAGGAGCATTCGAGTGACTCCTGTGAACTGTCATCTAAAGAAATATTTGGTGGTGCAATACATTTGGTGAATATTTTTTTAAAAACTTTTTTGCCATTTGATCCTGTAAAAATCTTGAAATTCTCTTAGAATGAAATTGAATACAAATTTTAATGAACATTCTTTCTTCCTTTACTGTTGCTGTGGTTAACTTATTCATGTTCTTTGCATTTGTTTTCTTAAATGGCACATTGCTATATTACATATATAATTATTATTTCCTTTTTTGTGATCCTTATAAAAGGAAAGAAATATAATCCGTAATAAAATCAATAGTGTTCAGACTCCTTTTGCATTGAAGTCGCTTTTTTCATATTTGTTTTTTATGTTTGAGTTTATGTTGAATATCCTATTGTGGGTGACAAGCAGGTGCTCTGGTGTGGTTTGCTCCTTCCTTCCCTATCAAACATCTATTTCTTTATCTCTCTCCTCCTTTTTTATGTTTCTTACTCTCTTATAATACCTCTAATCTTCGGCACTCGTATGACCTTATTGTGTCGCACGTGCTGTAAAACTCTTACTGAAACTATTTAACTATTACTTAACATCCTATTATGTGTGCTCCGTAAAAGTCTTACCAGAAATTGTTTGTTTTTTATTTTGTATGGCCTTATATTTATTCAAGACTTTTATTAGTATGAGTGA